TCTTATTCCTGTCATATGACAGTTCTTCAAATATTTGAAGATTGTCACCTTGCCTGTTTTTTAGATTATACATCAGTTTCTTTCGTCCACGAGTTTTAACTGAATGACAGAGATTTTTTTTCTTGACACTGGGTATCCAGAGAGAAATAAGCCCCAAGCTTCATGGAATCAACATTAAGTTACCATGAGCGGCTCATCCAACACTCTTCTCTGGGAGTTTTTTTCTGGACCAGATCCAGAGCGAGACACCATAATACCCTTTCACCACCCCTGCTCTGGAATCTGCATGGAAACCAAAGAGTTGCTTACAGACGCATATTTATACATCCCATTAACCCACAGACGACCTCAGTATTTTGACTCAGCTTATTCATCTGTGAAATGAACTCATCAGTCATGGATTTCCAACTTTCCTCCTGGCTCTGGCGTGCCAATCTCTAAGAAATCTGGATTAGTCACATTTTAACGAAAGGCGATCGTCTATATTACTGCTCTCAAAGGAGATGTCAGATACTGCATTTTCTGTTGGTCAAAAGACTGAGAAGCCGTATGTCCTTGACTTCAACAGAACCTCACTCAGCTATTTAGCACTTCCACCGTGTAATGTATTTCAATCACCAGTTATCCTTCGGATGTTCACATGAGCCATTTCGAGTTTAGCTGGCGCTTTGATAGTCTGTTCTCATGAGCTGCTAGGAACTCTGCATAAATAGAAAGCCCACAGCAGCCGTCATCTCCAGTTCTTGCTTTTCTCGACAGCTATTCAAAGCCACTTGCTAGTCCCTAACCTTTAATTTCACAGAGGAAGCCTGTCACAATAGAGCCATCTTTGTCCAGCTCTGCGGGCGGCTTTCCCTTTGGGTCACAGAATGTCGCATTCTGTAACAGGCAGGTACACCGGGTGTTGTTGTTCTGGGACTGTACAAAGGACAGTCTACTTAGCAGCTGGAAGGAAACGGCGTGTGTTTACACTTCCACTCTCCTTAACACTGCGGGGACAGAGATGCTAGTTATGACCATGAGGTGGGGCTCAACTGTTTCTTGTCGGGAAAAACATCTAAAAAAGTCTTTCATTCACAGAGTTTAAGGAAAATGAGCAGATCGCATCAGGGAGCACAGTACACCGCAACCTCGCCCTCGGATACTCTCTGTAGTAGGTTGGGTTTTTGGTCACCAGTAGCCTTGGATTCTTTTTTGAAAGGAGGCATCACTATGTGTTTCTTCATACTGCAATTATTTTTTTTTTAAATGTTCAGATGCAGGGACCTGCGAGTGGCAGAGCTGGAACCTGGGCCATGGTCTGAATCTGCCTAACCGCAAGTTCGGGGAAAGCGTGCCCCATTTCCAAATTATAAGCAAACCCCAGAGACATATTCATGGGTAATCAAGGGGAGGAAAACAAAAGTGTTTTTCCTGAAATAACACCTCCTGTGGAGAGGACTCTTGTTTTTCCCTCTTCCTGAATATCCAGCCATCAAGTTTTTATCTAGCTGTCCTTTCTAGGCAGAGAAAATCCATTTTGTTGAAAACGCAATCTGACCACATCCCTTCCCTGTTTCACGTTCTTCCAAGTGTCACTAACACACTCAGGATGAATCCAGGCCCTTCAGGGGGACCTCGGCCTGTGAAGCCCTGCAGCTTAGTGACTCACCACCCACCTCCATATTCCTGGCTTTCCTTTGGCTGCATGCGATTACTGAATACCTGACACAGCAGACTTTCTCATGGTTCCATGTCCTTAGAGGTGCCATTCACTCTACCAGGAGAGCCTTCCCACCTTGCCTGCCTGACAGCACCGTTTCTCATTAAGACCCAGCAGACACCCTGCGTCGTAGTTGATTCCACCTTTGATTTACCTCCTCCCGTGCACACAGTCTTCTCCCTCACTCGGCTACACCTTAAAAACATCTCAATGATCTTGTCTTAATCCTTGGATTTTTTTTTGATACATATGTGTCTAAGAATTAAACTGAAAATGTGAGGACGCTTAATTTTTCATTTCTTCAGCATAGTGCTTGAGACTTTATAAAGTCGTTAAGTCAATTAATTAAATAACAAACTGTTTCAACCTCAATAAACAGTCAACCCCAAATCTCATAAATCAGTAAGGCTTGGTTGTAACTATGCTCTGTAACTGAAGAACAACACTAAAGGGAGAAAAAGCAAATAACCACCATCTACACCTGTGGCAACTACTGGCTCAAAACCACCCTTCCCCAGTATCTCTTAAGATACGACCAAAATAGGAGGAACGCGGTTATTCTAAA